TAAAAATAAATTAAATAATGAGTATTTAAATAATTGATGTTTAAAATACTCTATTCCACATCAAAAATGAGAAAAGAAAATTCTCACCGTTCAACAACTAGAAGCAAAGAATAAGCCAATAATTGATGAACAAATACATCTAAAGCGAAGGGACGGGATTAGTAGTCTCCGCTGAGCAAGTAACAATAGAAAATATTTCTATTAATACTTAATTATCTACTTTTTATTATATATCATCATTTTATCTATATATTTTATATTTATCATGTTTTATTAGTTTTATATTATTATTTTCTTTTCTTTTATATATTCTTATATTTTTATTTATATATAATTTATTATATATTAATACATTTCTTTATCTTATTTTCATTTTTATTATATTTTTATAATTTATATCTTCTTTCTCTTTATATTTATTATTATTATTATTTTATTTCTTTTATATATTTTATTTATTATTATATCATTCTTTTCTATTATTATTTATTTATCATTTATTATTATTCATTTAATTTTTATATCTTCTATCTATATTTATGAAATTAATATTTATTATTTATCATATATTACATATTATATACTAATCATATAACATTTATAATTGATTATATAATAAACACTGATAATAAATAATATATATATAAATAAAAATCATAAAAATAAAAATGAATAAAATAAATTATATCAATAAAATATTGTTAATTATTTTGTATCAATAAATTAAACACTTTTTATTTGATATTTCTAATTTCTGTAATAAAAAAAATACATCCATTATTTCATCATTCTTTTCATCATTTATTATTTCTTTTTGAATTATTCATTTTTATTTTCTTTCTTTTTATATTCTCAACATTCTACTTTTATTCTTTTCATCTTCTTCTACTTCTTAATTTCACTTTTTTCTTTTATATCATTCTTTTTCATCATTTTGATTATTTCCTTTTTTTTCCGTTGCCATGTTTGATATATGATATTGAAATTGATGATAAAAGATATATTAGTTTTCGTAATGGTATTTATGAATAAAATCTTTTTATAAAACAACTGAATCAATTAATTTTATCTTCTTTTTTATTCTTATATATTATATATTTCTTATTTTATTCATTTTGTGTATGTGTTATTAAAGATGTTCCATTTATTCGTGTTATTCTTATTATTTTGTTTAAATTTCATTCTTCACTTCTTCTTCTATTATATTTCTTCTTTTTTATGTTCTTTTTTCTTATTTATTCTTATTTTATTTATAATTTCAGTTCTTTATAATTTATCTTCTATTCATTCTTTTTAAACTCTTTGTTATTATAAAACTTATTTCTATCTTCTTTATCTTTTTCTTATTTTTTCTTATCATCATTCTTCTTATATTCATTATTCTGATTGAATCATTTTCTTTTTAACTTATTTTATCATCATTTCATTCTTTCATTTTTTACTTAAAATCTTTATTTCTTTTTTGTGTATTCTTATTTCTTATTTTTTGTTTCTTTCTCTTTTTATTGTTTAATCTTTCTTGTTTCTTTCTTTATGTTCCTTTTCTTCTTTTTATTCTTCTTGTTTCTTATTTATCTTATTTCATCATTATTTTATTATTTTCGACTTATTCATTCATTTTCATTATGATTTATCTATTATTCTTCTTGTTTAAAACAATTATCATTTATCTCCTCATTTCATGGTTTCTTTCACTTATCAATATCTCATTATATCAACTCTTCATATCATTTCCTTATTTAATATTATTATTTTACACAACTTCATATCCCATCTCTTTCATTCATTTCTTCAATCTATAATACTATCATCCATTGCTATTCTTAAATAACTAAAAAACTTATCATTCTGACAAAACCAAATACCAATACCTTTAAATTTATACAAATAAACATCAAATAAACTTATGATAAATCATTTAACACTAACACTACAACCTCACTTTATAAAATAATGTTTTTGATTAAATTGTATTTTTAAATTAAGTAATTTTAGTTACTTCATGTTAACTTGGAATTATAGACAAAACACTATAGGTGAATCTGTAGACCTTGAACTGATTGAACATAACTATCTTCTATTTCTCGATCAGTTAGTAACCCTAATAGGACGTTGTTGTTTGGTGTTTCATAGCAATGTGAAATGATAGAAAATTGTTGCTTGATAAAAGATTTTTTAGTGAATTGAATAAAATAGTAAAATAATAATAAAATAATAATAAATGATGATATCATCAAATAAAAAACTGGTAAAAAAAAAAAGAAAATGCGGAGAAAAAAAAGGGACACGTAAAATGCAAAGAAAATATAACTAATAGGTCAAAATAATTGCTTTGGGCATATTGGTCGATAACAACCAAAACGAGTCATTCCAATCTTTTTTTCTAAAAAAAGGGAGAAAATTCACTCGAAAACAGAAAACAAGGAAGAAAAAGAATCAGGTAGATTTTCTAGAAAGAATAAGAATGTTACAATTTGAAAGCCAAAACGATAATTTGTTTTGATTTGAATGAGTTGATCACTTGAAATTGGGATGAAGATTTTAATAGGGCTTTTGATAAAAATAATAAAAATTGTTCTCGAATCAATTAGAATAGAAATAAACTCTTTTAAGGTTGTTATACTTAAATTATTTAATTAATGTCTAAAGCAGTAATTCAAAGCAATTTAGATAATGACACACTTTCAAAAACACTTGAAAGAGGTGATTTTGAAGAATACCCTGAAAGATTTATTGAAGATGGTATTCATGATTTTCCAAATGAAGAAGAATCTGTTGAATTAGATGTTAATGTTGTTAATGAAATGGATGATTCTTCTAGTTCTACAGATGAAGATAAAATTGCAAGAGAGAATGGAGAAGAAGTTGCTTATAAATCAAAAATAAGTAAAAAAGTTAATTATAATTCAGAAGGAGAAAGTAAAGATGAACTCTCTAAAGAGGATATTAAAAATATTAAGAAATTAAAGAAAAAGAAAGCTAAGAAAGGGTTTACAGTAGAAGATATGATTGCTAGAAACTTTCAAGAATTACTTTGTGAACAAAAAGAGTTTAAAAGAAATGAAGTTGGTGATCTTCAAAGAACCAAAAAGACTTGGTATAAAATTTTTTCAAATTCATTTTCTTTTGGATTTTCTCTTACAAACTCTCTTATCGGTGCTGGTATTCTTTCTTTAAGTCAGACATGTTACAAAATGGGAGTTATAGGTTTTGTTGCATGGTGTCTTGCTACTATAGTATATTTTGTTATAACATGGAATTATTTCAATAGAGCAATTTATATCACAGGAGCAGCAACAATGGGAGAATTATTATCGCTTATTTTTGGTAAGTGTTTGCTTGTATTGTAGATATTTGTAATACTCTATTCTATTTTGTGTTCTAATGGTTTATCAAGTCATTGCTACCCATATCTTTTGGTATTATTCAAGACCTTACAAATAGAGATAATGGAATACACTATGG